GCAAGAATCACTGGGGGCCATCTGGGGGGCTGGCTACCGCGCTCAGGACAAGACAAGGTCAGGGTGCCCTCTGTCTCTGCTTCTCATCAACGTTACTTGGAGGTTATCCAGGGTAGTAAAAAAAAAAAAGAAAGAAGCCCTAGCTGGTTTGGCTCAGTGGTTAGAATGCCGGCCTTCAACTGAAGGGTGCAGGGTTCCATTCCGGCCAAGGGCAGGGACCTCAGTTGCAGGCTTGGCCCCGGGGGGCGCGTGTGGGAGGCAACCAGTGAATGTGTCCCTCTCACATCAATGTTTCTGTCTCTCTCTCCCTCCCTCCGTCTCTCTCTGAAAAAGCAATGGAAAAAATATCCTCAGGTGAGGATTAAAAAAAAAGAAAAAGCAAAAGGATTAGAAGAAACAAAATTATTAATATTCCCAGTGGATGTGACTGTGTGCATATAAAAGCTCAGGCTCCACAGCTAAGAGGTGCTTTCTTTCCCTCCTAACCACCAGGAAGCCCTAACATTGCCGTCTTTCTAAAACCCATTCCATTGAAAGAGAGTCGAAAGTCCTAGGCGATGGGCAGGGCTGCCCTGAAAGAGTTGAAGCTAAGTTAAAAAAGACAGGAAAGGATAAATCTTCAGATTACGAAAAAGTCTAAACAACATAAAAAGGAAGCAAAAGCAAAAGAGAGTTAAACAAACAAACACACTGAGGCTTTATGTGAAGACTATCTTGAAGAAAAAGGAGGGGAAGGGGGGAGGGGGGGAGGGAAGGGAAGGACTCCTAGAGGAAACAGGCACTGGGAACAGCAAGGGCCAGCCTTGGGTGCACAGGAGCTGGGGCGGCTGTTTTACAGCAGCATGATCGGTGGTCTTTGTACGTCCCTTCGAAAATAGTCTATAAACTACTTGGAAAATGTGTGTCGATGTTTCTCTCTCTCCCTTCCTCTCTCCAAAATCAATAAAATAAATTTAAAAAAGGGAAAAAAGGTTAAAATGACAAATTTTGTTATATATATTTTACTACAATCTTAAAAAGTTAATAATGTAATATACCAAAAACTATTGAATCGTACGCTTTAATTTGGTGAATAGTCTGGCTATGTGAATTATATATCTCAATAAAGCTTTTTCTGAAAAAACCTAAGTGATTGTTTTTAGGGGGTAAAACTATGAAGAAAAAGCAAGTCAGTGATCACTATAAACATCAGGAGAGCAGGATACTGGGTACTTTACAGGGGTGGGAGGAGTCTGTGACCAGAAACCGACATTATGGGGTGCTGGAAATGGCCTTTTCTTGACCTGGGTGGTCGTTGCAGGGAGTTTCATTTTATAATAATCCACTGAACTATTCATTCATGTTTAGGACACTTTTTTTAAAAATTGATTTGAGAGAGAGAGAGAAACATCGATGAGAGAAACATCCATCTGCTGCCTCCCCTTTGCGCCCTGACTGGGATCGAACCCATGACCCCTCTGTGCACAGTATGATGCTCCGACTGAGCCACACTGGCCAGGGCCATGTTTAGCACACTTTGAAAATGTGTGTTATTTTTCACCATGCTTTATTTTTAATTTAAAATTCAGTAAGAACAAAGTATTGAGGGGTTGAAGGAGCGTGGCTTGTTGAGTAGACAGTAAGTGTCTGCCACAGGGAAACAGCGCTTACCCATTGAGCAGAGGGGGGAGAGGATTCTATTCGGAGGCAGCAGCATGTCCAGGTGCAGATGTACAGAAGAATGGGAACCTGAGGCACTGAAAGGTGACCAGTCCAGTTCTGCCTGGGCTTAGAGAACAAGTGGGAAGAGGTGTGTGTGATGAAGTCTGAGGACTGGGCAGAGGCCAGATGGTGGAGAGCCGGGCAGCCATATGGGGGTGTTTTAGACATTGTCCTAAGGGAACAGTGCGGAGTCACTGAGTGGTTTTATTTTTATTTTTTTTAATTAAATATATTTTTATTGATTTCAGAGAGAGGAAAGGAGAGGGAGAGAGAGAGATAGAAACATCAATGATGAGAGAGTCATTGATCCAGCCCACAGCCTGGGCATGTGCCCTGACCGGGAATTGAACCCTGATCGCCTGGATCCTAGGTCGATGCTCAACGGCTGAGCCATGCCCGGCCGGGCCACTGAGTGGTTTTAAAGCAGTGAAATGATCTGATCAACTCAGTTAGCTCATTCTGCCTGGAACATGGGGAAGACTGGACACGGTCTGGAGTAGAACCAGGAGACCAGTTAAGAAGCCATTTCAATAATTCTGTGGGTTGGTGGAAGCTTGGACTAGGGTGGAGGCTGTGGAGAGGTGAGGAATACAGTGTTCTGGTCAAGGGCACGAATCTTGGATGCAGGCTTGATCCTGGGCCCCAGTCGGGACAATCAATCGATGTAACACATCAGTTTCTGTCTCTCTCTCTTCCACTCTTTCTGAAAAGCAATGGAAAAAATATCCGCCAGCCCAGACCGTATGGCTCAGTGGTTAAGCATTGACCCATGAACCAGGAGGTCAGGGCTGGATTCCCAGTCAGGGTACATGCCTGGGTTTTGGCCCAATCCCCAGCAGGGGGCGTCCAGGGGGCAGCTGATCAATGACTCTCATCATTGATGTTTCTCTTTCCCTCCCTTTCCCTTCCTCTCTCGGAAACCAATAAAAATATATTTTAAAAAAAGAAGAAAAAATATCCTCAGGGGAGGATTAAAAAAAATCTGTTCACATCACTTTTCTTTTTTAAAAAAATTTACTGATTTGAGAGAAAGATCGATTTGTTGTTCCACTTATTTATGCATCATTGGTTGATTCTTGTATGCACCCTGACCAGGGATTGAACCTGCAACCTTGGTGTATCCAGAGGATGCTCTAACCAAGGAAGCTACCCCGGGAGGACCTTTGTTCACATCATTTTTCTTTCGCAATCCTTCAACAGGTGCTCATTGCCAGGTTGGCATGACTTCTAGTCCTTCAAGATCTTCCAGAAAGCATGACTAAGTCTAAATTTCTGACCTCGTGCCTAGCTACTCCCCCACACCATTTATACTACTCAGTGGCTCTTCGTATAGACCAACCACAATTTCTGCTTTATGACCTTCTCCAAGACCTCTCTGACACCCAGGATCAGACATTCAAGTCTCCACAGAGCTAAAAATCCTGGAGGACGGTATTTTAGACTTTTTTATAGCCAGAATACTTAGCAGTTTGCCTAACACGAAACGGACACTGTTTTACTTTAGCTGACCTTTGCATACATCCAGGGCTTTGTAAACCTCTCGTTCCCTTCCAGCAAAATCCTACTCCAGTTCGAATCCCTCCAGGAAGCTTTCCGGGCCCCTCCAAGTAGTTTGGGGCTCTGACTCCGTAATCCACCGCCCCTGGACTTAAGCATATTTTAATAATTTACCTATACAACTGCAATACATGTTAACACTTCCACCTTTTCTTGGAAACTAACAGTAAGTAGCCCTATCGATGCTTGCAGGCTCTATCCGAAGCCAACTCCTCCATTTAATGGTTCGCTGACCCCTAGCGAGAATGACTTTTAACTCAGCTCGTGATGCGCGCACCTATTTGGCACGGACACCCTTTCCTTACAGCTCGCTGCTGCTTTCCCGGCTGCCTTCCTCTCCTCCCCGGCAGACTGTAAACTCCGAGTCCGCTGGTCACCGGCTGCCGGTCCAGCACTCGGCGCCGCGTGTTCCTAGAGCAGCCTAAGGCGTAGTTCGCGGACCGGCCGGCGCGTGGCTCGGCCCAGGGAGACCCTGCCCCGCCCAGCGAGCTCCCTAAGACTCCCGCCCCGAAGCGCTGGCCCCGCCTCCCCTGCCAGTCCCTGGGTCCTAGCGCCCGTCGGGGAGGGGGGGGGGAAGCCGGATATCCGCTCATGCGCAGTGACGCTCTTGGGGCGCGTGACGCGCGCGGAGGCCGGGTCGCCCCGTACCCGGAGGACAGGGTTGCTGGTGAAGGGGCGGGGCCCACCGCGGTTATCGCTTGCTCATTGGCTGCCGTGCCGACGGACTGGCGAAGGAGCCACTAAGATGCTGCTTGGTTAGAAACAGCCATCCCGGCAAAATATAAATAATAAACAAAAGGCTGTGGAGGAGGGGAGTGGCGGTGTCGGCTTGAGCGCTGTGGGGGCTCAGCTTGTCCCAGTTCCCCCATAACCCGGGCCGGGGAAGTCCTGTTTTCTGGACTGTTGTCCTGGCAGCGGAGCCTCCACGGACCCGAGTCTTAATTCCGATCTTTTCAGCTCCGGCTTCCTGGGGCAGCCTCCGAGGCTGCAGTCCCGCCACCCTGTGGTCCAGCTTAGGTCTGGCGGCGTTAGCCCTCTCCCCTCGGCATTGGCCAGACACGCTCCGCACTGGTCTCCCAGGTACTTGCCTGGCTGGCTGCCAACCAGACTTTGTAAAAGGCAGATCTGAACACATCCTCTGCCTGAAACCGCCGGTGCCCTCGCAGGCAAAGGCGCCACGATCCACTTCTAAAACCTGAGGACGAGGCGTTCTTGATGAGCTCCTCTCATCTTTCCAGCCGCATCTCAGAGGATCACCAGCAGAGTCGGGCCCTCTCAGGCTTTGTGCTTCTGCAGGAGCTGTCCCTTCTGCCTGGACCGTACCTGCCCCTTGCAACCTCTACTTCTCCCCCGGAGAAGCTCCGACCTCACCCTGAGGCCTTCCCCAGTGCCCCCGTGCTGCCCCCAGCCCTACCCCCACCTCTGGGCCCTGAGCATACAGGCAGTCTGGCAGCTCTGTACCACACCTGCTAGGTTCTTGGAATGCGAGTGGTCTGGCAGAGGAACTAGCACACTGGACATTGATGGTTCAATAGATGGATCTTGAATGAATCAACAGATGGATTCCAAAGATCAAAAGTGAAGATTAAAAAGTGTCAGGCAGGGCCGTGGTATTTGAGGGGCTCACCAAGAACATGAACCATATCTTTTTCACTTCTGAATCTTGATAGCTAGTTAACAAGGTGACAATCCTTTTAAAATATGTGAATAAGTTCAAGATACACACAAGATACATACAAGAATTCACAAATAGTGAAGTTAAGCCATTTATTTATGGTTCTGTCACAGCCTGTGGAACGACTTCTGCTCAGTCAGTGAGGGTAGGGCAGTGGGCCTCAGGGGTCAGTCACTGAAGAAAATCCCAGCAGGCAGGCTTAGGAGGGTGTGTTTGTATGTGAGACAATGAGGACACCAAATCCCAGACGTGTTTACTGTAATGTGTATTCGAGGAGGGTGGGGTGGGGTGGGGTTCCCCCAATCTGATCCTCCAAGGCTCTGGGGTGACTCACTTTTCCTTGCGCTCAGGGGTGGGGCTGGTATTTGTTCCCTGAGTTGGGTCGTGCTTCTCCTGGCCCTTGGCATCCCCTGAGTCCCCAGCCACTAGGGCCACATCCCTCAGATAATTAATGTTGAAGCAGCTAGTCTGTTCATCCCCAGGTCTTAGTTTACAGCAGAAGGCAGGGTCTCGCCAGAAGTTACGTTGGGGACCACACAGGTCACTGATGAAGGCTGATTTCTGATGAATGAGAGAAAGAAAGCAGAGATGGCGAGGGAGGGGCTTGTAAGAGGTCAGGCATGGGCACTTGGGTACCCAAAGTCCCCCTTCCCTCAGCTTCTACTGCTCTCTTCCTGGATCCCTTCCTGGGTCCCAGAGAGAATGCAAAGCTGCCTTACACAGCTAGACTTCCTGTGGTGGACAGATGTGCACATCTGGAAAGACCGAAGCTTAATAGGAACATAGCAGTGGGGAGCAGGTCAAGACAGGAATGAGGACTTCTGGAACTAAGAAAAAAATTTCTCTCCCCAGTCCTCATTATTTCTGTGGGCTGTTTTGAGGTACTAAAAGTAGGGGTAGCCTTCAGGTCTAGCCATCTCCCCTCCTCTGCATTCCCTTGGAGACTGTGACTCCCTGCACCCATACTCACCTCCTCCTCAGCACAGCAGGCCTGCTCTGGAAGTGGCAGGTCACAGCAGCGGCTAGTAACGTTTCGGATTAGCCCAGGAATCTGTTTACTATGGTAGGAAAGGGACAGGGGTCAGGGTCTTCAGGAACCCCCAGGCAATAAAAATGGTGCTTGGAGACCATGGTATTGCTCTTGTCAAGAGTGCCCCAGAGGGTGCCCCAAAGGGAGATTTCAGGAAGGGAAGAGAGTTGGGAAGAACTGTACAAGACTTACTGCTTGGTGACAACTCTTTGGTTTCCACAGAGATAGTTCATGAGGTTGGGAGTGATTCGGCTGAGGTCAACGGTCAAGAGATCTCGGTCATAGTTGGGGTAGGGAGCCCTATGGGCAAAGCATTCATCGCGCTCAGGGCTAGCAGGGTAGTGGCAACATGAGTGGTGGTGGGTCTTTATAGCCAGTTCTCGATCACAGTATCCATCAAGAGAATCCTCCCACTGTGAGCCAGAAAGAGGGAAGTCAAAAGCCTGGACACTTGGCCCCTTCTCTCCTCACACTCCACTTCCCTGGCTGCCCCACGCCCACTCCCAACCCCAGGTGCCGAAAGGGAAGGGCAAAGAACCGGAGGGCAAGGAGGTAGCTGTGAATGTGTGGGGTTGGGGAGGGGGAGGGGGAGGTTCAGAGCTGGCCACGGAAGATGAGCTGGAACAGTACATGGAGGGGGTCGGGTGAAGCCAGAGCTGGATAGACGGATGGCAGACAGGCACACATGTGGGATCGTGGGTGGACGAGGCCGGGAGTGCAAGGTGAAGGCTCAAGATGAACAGACTCAGATGATGAACACAATGGATGGACGGACATTCACAAGCAGACGGACGGGTAAACGTGTTCACATGGGGAGGTACGTGGAGGAACGGACCAGCAGGCTCAGAGGTCAGACATGGGCAGGCAGCAGACTGGCTCTCCAGCGGGGCGGGACGCCCACTTACAGCCTTCCATGCACAGGTGTGGTTGTTCCCCTGCCGGCAGCAGCGCTGCAGCTCCCCCTCCAGCCGGGTCAGAGTCTGCAGCCGCCTATGGACGTGGTCAGTCGGTGGGAGGTTGCGTGGCACAGAGCGGAAGCGTCTTTGGAAGCAGATGTTCTTGAGATTGTCCAGTGTCGGTTCCCCAGGGGGAAACGGCAGCTCGGTGCTCAACAATATAGGAGGCTGGTGGCTGGGGCAGGGCTGGAGCATGTAGTGTGGCTGGGGAGCTTCCTTCTGGAAGCAGGAGAATCGAGCCTCCCCCTGCTGTTTGCAGCACCAGTGGGCTCGGGTCTTGACCGAGAACTCGGCCTCACAGAATTCGGTCATTGCGTTCTCCCACTAGAGAAGAGGGCTGGGTCAGCCTAGTAACCAACTGTCCACATTCCTGTCTTCCTCCCAGGCTCCAGAAAGGCCACTGGGCCGTTAGATGGGGAAGAAGCAAAACCGTCCCTGCTCTCCTGGCATACCAAGATAGGACCGACGAAAGGGGCCTAAGGTTCCCGTATACCCAGGCCTAGGCCTCTAGTCCTTAAAACACACACATACTGTCGGGTTTAAAGGACACCCCCAGGACCAAGAGCCCAACCCTTACCACAAGTTTTGTACATTCCATGCGCTTTGCGTAGCTGTGACAGCGGCAGCAGCGGGAATATCCCGTCTCCAGGATATTGAGGGTCTCACCCTGGCGACTAAGGTGGGAGTGGCCAGACTGTGGCAGGTTCCAAGGGCCATACACCACATGCTGACGAGTAGGCAGGCAGATCTGGTCCAGATTGTCTGGAGAAGGCCGCCCAGGAGGGAAGCCATCCAGCCGGTGGCCCCAGCCCCCTTGGGGTCGGCCCCGTTGGCAGTGTTGGGCTGAACCCTGCTGCGTGCTGGGAGCTGGCTTTTCTAGAGGGGGGGGAAGCAGAGTGGGCAGGTGGATCACGTGGAGGGACAGAGAAAAGCTGGATGAGTTGGGAGGGTGAGAGAAAGGATTGGGAGGAGATGGGGAAAGAGGAAGAAATGAATTTGTGGCTCTTACCTTCGGATTGAGTAGCTGAAAGGAAAAGAGAATCGAGGCATGAAAGGTATCACTGCTATAGTCCACCTAAAGCAGGCCTGCCCCCCTCCGCAGGGTCCTGACACTAAAGCAGGGGGATTTACAGATGAGAGTTGTCACTCACCCTCTCTCTGCTTAGATGGCTTGGTCACTTCCTCCTGTGATGGGATAGGTGGGTCTACTGGGGTAGAAGAAGACACGTAAGCAAAAATCACGTTGGGATGGCTCTCTCTAAAAGAGGGGGTCCTGGCCAGTTCCCACTCATAGAAAGGAACTCAATAAAGAAGCAGGTGAAAATAAATGCTATTTTTATGCCAGTTAATCTCATAAGTTTGTAAATTAGGTATTATTTCCCCAATTTTACAGATGAAGAAACTAAGGCTTGGAGAGGTGACTTCCCCAAGTTTACACAGCTAGTAAGTGGCAGAGCCCCCAAAGCCAAGGGCAGGCTGGAAGGTAAAGAGAAGAGGGAGTCACTTACCTTCCTTCTGTTCAATAGGGGTCTGGGGGGGGGACAGCTCTTCTTGGAGACTGACATCTTTCTGAGGGACAGGGGACTCCATTGCAGGGTTCCCTGAGAGAGAGAGAGGGGTCCCGAGGGTAAGGACACAAAGGAGCAAGGATCCAACTGATGCCAACAAGACTACAGTAGGCTGGAGGCAAGGGAACGGGAGAGCACTCACCTCTTTTTATAAGGAGTTGGGGAGAGAACAGCTCCTCCTCTAGAGCAAAGATGCCTTCCTGAGAGGAACGGGGCTGCACTACAGAAGGGGGAGTGTGTGAGTAGCCAGGCCAGGAGAGGGGGCAGGGACTTCTTTCCCCTCCCCACCTGAAGACGGGAGAAGGAAGCCAGACTAGGAACCTGGAGGGGGAAAGGGTGGACTTACCTTCACTCTGTCCCTCAAAGTGATAGCCATGCTGAGAGATGTCAGGGTGATCAGGGTGATCCACGGGGTGAGCTGGGGTGTGGGGTGGGGAAGGGGGTGCTGCATAGCCAACTAGAGGCAAGATGGGAGACAGTCAGAGCCTACAGTTCCTACTTGACCCCCAATCCCATGCCACTTCCCCAAACTCTTACCTTCTTGTAGGTACTCTGGCCCCAGCACCCTCGGCCTCAAGCCTGGAGTGAGGAAGGGTGAGTCAGGGGTGGTTTCAAGAGGCCTTTCCTGGCCCTGAGCACAGGGTGAGGAGGCAGCAGAGGTCAAAAGTGTAGGAAAGAAGGCCAAGACACCAGAAGCCTCTCCATATTGCTCCTGTCTCATGTCCCCTAGTCCATCCCCCAAACACACCTAGACATGAATCACTGGGTTCTAAGAAAGCCTCTGATATTCTGACAGCCTCACCTCTACCAGATTCAAAGCCTTGGGTCTCCCAAGTCTGGGCCTCAAGGGAATATGACATATGGGGCTGGGGAGGAAGACCCTAATCTCTTGTCAGTGTCACTCCCTCAGGACTTCTGGGCTCTCCCCACAGCCTCTCTGTTGCAATGCTTCCCTAGCTTTCAGAGGAAAAGTTCGGAACCTTGAACTGATTGGAGCCTCACCTGTCCGTTTCCTCCACCTACCCTCCTATTCCAAGCCCTTTAAACATCTTTGGGCCTGATAGCGAGCCTACCCAGAAACTTAAGTGCTTCCTTCCCCCTTGGCTAGTCCCAGATTCTCCTTAGTTTAGGTCTCAATTTAGGACTGGGGAACTGCAGTGACTCAGGACTGAGGCAAATCAGCCCTCAGCCACAGGGAAAAGAATCCCTGGTAGCTGACCTGCAGTCCCAAAGACTAGGACCTAGGAGGATCAGGGGGATGGGGCCTTACAGACACAGACTAGATGCTCTCAGCAGCTCCCCTCAGTAGCGTTTTATTCAGCATCCAAGCAGATAAAGTGTGTGCGCTAGAGGGTGGCTGTGTCCAGTCCCCTGGGGATGGATACCCTTGCCACTCCTCCCTTAACCGGGCAGGGATTCAGTCAAGACTCTAGGTCAGCAAACGGGTTTTGAGCAGCCTGGGGCCCCTTCTTCCGCTCTCCCCTGCCTAATAGGTCCCATATACATCTCCCCCAGGCAGAGGCCCTTCACTCAGGGACTCCACCTCCCCACCCCCGCCCCAGTTGTCCTTTGACTCCAAGCTTGTGTTTCTTGGCAGCAATCGCTAGGAACAATCTTTAGCAGCAACAATCTCTAGCAGCTTCCTTCTGTGCCCCTGACCCTCCTCCCTGGTTAAAGGCTTCAGTGCCCAGGCCCACCTTGGGCCTACTCAAAAGCAGGAGCCAAGTGGAGAATGAACCTGCTGGTGATGAGCCACCTAGGATGGCTGGACTCAGGCCCCGCGCCCACGCTGGCCAGGGCGCCTTCCCAAGTGCTGCCTCCAGCCCCAACTCACCTCCCTCAGAGGCTATGGAAGCAACAGCCAAACAGGCCAAGACCAAGACTGCTCTGGACTTGGTCCCCATCCTGGGGCAAAAACTGGTCAGTGGCCACCCAGGAGGTGGGTCCTCGGGCAGGGCTGGGTTGGAAGGGCTGGGCTGCGGGGAGCTGCTTCTCTGGTGGCTGCTACAGCTGTAGTGAGCTTCGGGCCGGCTGCCTTCCTTTTATATGGCTGTGCGGGAACAGCTCCCGCCCTCCTCGGCTTCCTGCGTGACTCAGTCCTCACTGCTTCCCCGTGGCAGCCACTCCTCCCAAACTCACCCTGAGGCATCCTGAAAGGATTGAGAAGAATGGGGGCAATGAGAGGAGAGCATTTTTATGGCCCCGAGAGAAACCGATCTGAGAATCCTGAAGCAAGAGATGTTTGAGGGCTTGTTCTGTGCCTCATCTTCTGTCTGCACGTGAGGGGAAGCGCCCACCTGCTGACCTGGGGCTGGGGGGACGGCACGAAGGTGGTCAGACTGGGGACCAGTACGCCTATCCCAGGGGCTCCCCGACCACTGAGAGGCTGGGCTGCCCCTTTTAAATTTTTTCTATTTTTTATTATTTATTTTTTTAATCCTCATCCAAGGACATTGTCTCCCTTGCTTTTCAGAGAGAGGAGAGAGAGAAACAGCAGTGTGAGAGACACATCGATTAGTTGCCTCCCACACCCTGACCAGGGCCTGGGACTGAGCCTGCCACCAAGGCACATGCCCTTGGCCAGAATCAAGCCCGGGACCCAGCAGTCCCTGGTCTAATGCTTTAACCACTGAGCAAACAGCCAGGGCAAGTTTTTAAAAATGGATTTTAGAGAGGAAGGAAGAAAGAGAAATTTGTTGTTTAACTTATTTATGCATTCGTTGGTTGATTCTTATGTGCCCTGACTGGGACTCAAACTTGCAAACTTTCGGTGCACAGGGTGATGCTCCAACCAACAGAGCCACACCAGCCAGGCCTGGGTTGTCCCTTTTCAATTTCCCCTATACCCTGGGACAAAAGAGGGAGACAGAGTCAAAACCTTTTTTATCCCCATCAGGAGTCAGAGATGAAGACACAACCCCAGTGGCTTCAAGTTTATTATTTTTAGTTTCACTCTCCTCACATGCAAACAGCTGTAGCTTCCCCTAGACCAAATCTCTCTTCAGGAGAGTAGTTCAGGCCTCCGTACAAGTTCTAAAGGGTCTGGGTATTCCAGACTCTCAGTTAGGTTGGCCTCTCCCATGTTCAGACAGGCTGATGGCTCCTGCAGGTCTCTGTCACATCAATATACAAAGCTCAGAAAATTTCTTCAGCATTTGGGACCCTGGAGTTCTGCAGCTCCTGCAGCCGCCCCACAGCCTCTGTCAAGTCCCGTTCTCCAAGTCGACGATTATCTCGAGTCCGAACGTTCACTGTCCTCCTGCTCTGTTCTTTCTGGCCAACCACTGCAAGAAGAGGGGACATTTGGGTATCTCAGGGCAAATTTATCCACATGGGATATCTCCCTTTGCTATGCAGAAATTGAAGAGACCTAAATCTTTAGAAAGGGTGACAGCAGAGCCAAGATATGGCTCAGGGAAGGATATATTTAGCTATTCCTTGCTCTTCAGTTCCTTGCCCCTGCTGAGGAGATAAGAAAATGCTTCAGGCATTCTCCTGTATGTCTTATCACTTCTAGTCAGGAGCCCAGGGGTCAGAGATGGTAGGGTGAGCCAGAGCAAGAAAAAAAAAATCAAGCTGACCCAAAGAGGAAGAGTGTGAGTGTGTGTGTGTGTGCACGCGCACGCACGTGAGAACATTAGAGAAAGTGGAGGTGGCAGCAGTGGCAGACACATGTGAGTCCAGGGACTGTGGGGCAGCTTGTTCCAAGTGCTGGCAGCACGAGTGGGTGTGAAACTGGAGAACCAGGCAGCAGCTGAGGAGTTTCTGCTCCTTGCTTTCCAGACAGAGCTCTGAACCTTGGAAAATGAAAAAAGGAACGCGCAGGGCTACACTTTTCTCCTCAAGGCCTTTCTCCTCATCTGGCAGGGCTGACTCCATCTAAGTCTAGAATAAACAAAGCTGGCTAATTAATGCCTTATTAACCCTTCCTGTCCTCTTCTCTCTGACTCGCCCTTGGTTAATCAACCTAACAGACACCAAGAGCTACAGTAAGGGCCAGAAGGTAGTAGGTGTTGGGGGACGGAAACTAGCGTCCGAATGGCTCAGGCATTGTGAATCCTGGCTCCTATCCAGCTCACGAGTTGAGCCCCAATTAAGCCAAATATGCAGATGACCAAACTTAATATGAAAGAACAGTGTACAGGGCAGGCGCTTGACCTGGTCATTTACCAAACTGAAAATTGTAGTTGGCGAGCTGAGCCCGGCGGACTCTCCGGCTAAGGGTCAGTTTGGAGTCAGCGTCCAGGTCACCGACCAGTCCTCCAGCCCGCAGGCTCTGCTGTGCCTGGAACAGAGATTTGGTGACAGGAAATTAATTTAATGGAAGGCTGAGGAGCTAGAACAGTCTGATATCAACCTTCCTCCAACCCCCCCCCCCTTTCCTCCTTCCC